AACTGAAAACTCAAAATGGAAACATATTTTTTGTGTTTTCATTTTTTGGCCAAATTTATAAACTCAGACCACTGATTTATAAATCAAAAATTTTACCAAACAAGTTTTTATTTGAGTTTTTAAAATTTTTGTAAATATAAACAGAAAACTGAAAACGTAAGTGTTACCAAACGGCACCTTAGTAATTCGGCGCTCGATGGAGTTGTCACAATGAGTCAAATCACTAGTAGCTTGTTGAATGAAGAAACTAGAAGAAAATCAGCATGTTCCTCTCATTCAAAAGCATTTGTTGTGAGAGACCGAAGCAAAACAAGGGGGAGAAGTAAGACTCCTCATGGTTGCGATCAAAACCGTGACAAATCAAGAAATGGTTCTTTTTCAAAGAAAGACATTGAGTGCTATTATTGCCATGAAAAAGGGCACATGAAGCGGGAATGCCGAAAACTCAAGAACAATGAGAAAATGAGTGACAAAAGTGTGGATAAGAAGTAAGAAGACACAACAGCGGTTACTACTGATGATCTTATGGTCGTTTGTCAAGATCATTGTATTAATTTTGTGAGCCAAGAGAGCAATTAGGTGATTGATTCCGGTGCTTCTTTTCATGTGACTTCTCAAGTTGATTTCTTCACTACCTACACAAAAGGAAATTATGCTTGTGTTCGAATGGATAATGAAAGTTTGTCCAAGATTATTGGCATGAATGATGTTTGCTTGGAAACAAATTTGGGCTGCAAGTTGTTGCTTAAAGATGTGAGGCATGTTCCTGTTCCCGACATTCATCTCAATTTGATCTCTACCGGGAAGCTAGATAGTGAAGGCTTTAACAACAAACTTGGAAATGGAATATGGAAGCTCACAAAGGGTTCTTTGGTGGTGGCTAAGTGCAAGAAAACCCATACACTTATTTGATGCAAGGAAAAATTTGTAAAGGTATTGTCAATGTACTTAAAGATGATACTTCTACCGAATTGTGGCACAAGCGACTTGACCATATGAGTGAAAAAAGGCTACAAGTTTTGTTCAAGAAAGACCTTCGACCCGGTCTGAAATGTATACATCCTAAAACTGGTGTTCATTGTTTAGCGGGTAAACAACATAGAGTTTCTTTTCATAAAAATGTTGCTTCTAGAAAAGAAAATATTTTGGAGTTGATTTATTCTAATGTTTGTGGTCCTTTGAAAATTAGAACACATAGTGGTGCACTTTATTTTGTTACTTTTATTGATGATTATTTAAGGAAAGTTTGGGTTTTTACACTAAAAACTAAAGATTAAGTTCTAGATGTATTTAAGCATTGTCAGGCCATGGTTGAAAGAGAAACAGGGCAGAAATTGAAATGTATCCAAACAGACAATGGTAGTAAATACATTGGGCCATTTGATGTGTCACGACCCCATTCCACCCCTAGTAGAATGGTGCCGTGATGGCCAGTAATCCGAGATTACCGAAGGCCAACTTTCAAAATTCACACACAATCAGAGTATTACATATGGGGCTAACATGTGCGGAAGCAATATATACAAATCTAATTAGTCCATAAGAGCTGCGCATAAGTCAAACGAAATGGCATACATCTTTACATAGCTTTACTACTTGAATATAAGCGAAATAAAACACATATTACACCTTGACTAAAAGGCTCCTCAAGCCGACATATACAAAATACATGAAACATAAGGTCAAGAAGCATAATCTTCAAGATTGCCGACATTCTCACTGCCGACATAACATACATGCAAAGCACACATCTCGGCGTAGCCGACTTCCTGCTTATTACCTACATATATATATGGAGAGGGTGAGCTTGGATACTCAGTGAATGGTCTAAGTAATAAAGGGGTTAAATGAATGATTCCCGAGGTCCTTGTCGAAACAATACATATATCATAGCTTGTTCAAAACATGAGATGAATCAAGTTCATCAATCAAATCTTGGCCTTTCAAATCTTCTTGAGATGTTTAATAACATCTACATAATACATGGGGTTATGACATTCCTGACAAAACAAACCTACCCGTTCATAGACCGTCAGCTGCAAAACAAGACAAAACAAGGGAATAATCGACCTGGAATTGATTAGACAAATCTACCCGTATCCCAGACCGTCGGTGGGGCCATCCGTATCCCAGACCATCGATGGTAGAGATCTCTCAAGCAAGGGTGCAGTTGTATTATAGTCCCCTGGCACTAAGGACTTTCCAAGAATGTCATCAAAACAAGATAATACTTGATATACAAAATAGGGATAATCATTCATGCTTGATCAAATACTTTTCAAAACAAGGTAAAGCAAAGCTTATCAAAACATGATAACATAGCTTTATTAAAAATACCACTCACATAGCTCTTCGGACGTCGGGATCAAGGAAAAGGTCCAAGTCCTACAAACACATGGCAAAGTCTACTGAACGTACTTCTCAAAATAAGTCTTACATGCATGCAAGTGATCTCGGGAAAACATGCTGGAAGTCAAATCACTGTTTTACATGTCAAGAAGACATGCTGGGTACCAACCAGGTCTTTGCCGAGGTCCCACACCTCTTGGCCGAGGTGTGGTTACCGAGGCTTCGGCGTGCGGCTGCATGCCGAGGTGCACACAAGACAAACTAAAGGTGTAAGTGATCATGCAAGGTAGGCCAAGGTGAGATACAATGCTTGGCCTAAGTGTGAGGTCTAGGTAAGAGTGATCTCGACGACTACACTTAGGGAAGTGAGGTCTGGAGATTTGGGTTTCCACCCGTGCAGAACATGAAAAACATGAACATGAAGACCATGAAGAATATGAATGCTAAAATCATAACTTCTTTATTACAAAAATCTGGAATTTTATGCTATGAGTTTGAAAACATGGACCTGGGTACCCATACTTGAAGATCATATAAAAACAAAGACAAAAACATGGATCTTGGCATGAGCTTTCAGATCAAAACATGACTTTTCTTGAAGAACACATGAATACTATTTTTTTCTTTCTAAAACCGAACTTCAAAGCAATGCATGGCTTACAAGTCATATTCAATCATGCAATGCAATAACATGAACATAAAGAACAACATGGGTAGATCAAGAATCTAACCTTAGAACACGGATCTAACGGTTCGATCTCTAGGGATCAAGCTTGGAAATCCACTCTCCCTCAAGAACTCCTCTTCCTCTCCTAGAGCTTCTCTCTCCTCTTCAAAAACAAGGATATAACAAATGATAGGTTTCTCCCTCTGCCGGCTGACTTAACACTCAGCTCGGACACGTGGCAACGGCTGGTTGGCTATCCCCAAAAAGGTGATAAATTGACAAGACATGTGTAAGACAAAGTGTATCTAACAAGCTACCTGGTAAGGCACTCCGGCAAGTGATGACATCGGCTAAGGACAAAGCTTCGGCAACTAAGGTGACAATGACCTCGGCTAGGAAGGACAACACTTGACTAAGCTGTGCCACATCTTGGCCTAGATGTGCCATACCTCGGTCTAGGTCATACCAGTCCAGGACAAGATCACTTAGGTGCAAAGGTAACATCTCGGCCTAGATAATACACATCTTGGC